ATGCACACAATCAGAGCCAAACACATAATACATGCATGCTCGAGTTGTATATACAGTATGCAAGCATGCACACACATAAGGAACACATAAAGGTGAAATACACATGCACCAGCAGAAACATCCATCCATACGCACAGAGAATCCATATCTACTTTACAGCACCCTCCCCCATACATGCCTGTGTGTACAATGTGCTTGTGTGCATTCAAATGTCAGTGTTTGTCTGTGTTCCTGCCAGTGAGTCATTGAATGCTCTAATGACCACAGTCCTGACACAGGTATTTTGACTGCTGCCTCTTTCCATTGGTACATCAACTGACATGTGATTAGTTACGCTGGGATGAAAAACCAGGGAGGCGCACGCTGTAACCATGAAAAGAAACTGGGAGGAGGGTTAAATCCTCGTCTCTCTGTGTCTCCTGCCTCATCTTGCTTCAAATCTAAAACATCCCTGGTTGCAGTTACCAGTTATGTGATTTAGTATTCAGTTCATACAGTAAAGCACAGCTGGGCTCAGAGCAATGTTCTAAGAAAAGCCAGTGGTGTAGCTCAGTTCAGGTTAGCACTTCTGTAGCAGAGATTGCAAAAATAATCACCATAGTAGAAATATGACTTTAATATAAAATAGCTAAACATTTTAAAATACAGTTTTTAAGTGATTAAATTAAACCGCTGAGTATAAACAATAAACTGTACAGTACAATTCTGCCAGTGAATTAATAAAATTACTTAACAATATGATCATGTTCCAAATTTGTCAGGCATATATGCACCATAGCTAAGACCTATGCTCAAATTTTATGCTGATCTAAAGAGTTTTAAGATTTAACAGTACTTGGCATCCTTTCTGTATGAACACAGGAGGTTTTTGACATGACATAAAACACAGTCTTCCCAATTTAAGACACAGCCTACAAATAACATATGAATAAAGTACACCGATTAAAAAAGACAGATATTTAAAACATATGAACAGGCTGTGCAATATGAGACATGCAAAGATGTAATTAGATGAACTGACAGATGAAGCATAAAACACTAACTAAATGGTATGCATTAAATTGAAGCATGACACAGGATTAAAACATTTGGGTATTTTACATAATGGACTGGTTTCCTCACGGTCATTATTAACTGATCCCGAGGACCAGAAAAAGGCATTTGTGCAAAGTTTGAAGTTTGAAAAGTTTGAAGCCTCAACATGCTGTAAACCAACTTAGAGTTGCAGCAGACCTCACAGTTTCTAGGAGTATTCAGATATATGGTGCATAAAAACAGAGCTGCTTGGGGACAGTAATTAGACCTGTCCCCAGGTCTTCCAGACAACCTCAGAGGTCAGGACAGTTCATAAAGTAACAGTACATCTGAAATATATTGTATTTTGGCCCTAAACCATTCAATTGTTCCCACAGTCTTCAAGTCCTAATTTAAAAGTTTCATTTTGAAAGAAAAACTTCTTTAATGGCTGGATAACATTGTCAGTTTTGAGATACCACTATATAAAGTATGAATTTCTGATGTGCTCTGTTCCAGTCAACAGTTGTTCTATAACCTCTATAACTGTGGTGCACTTCCTGCATCAAACTGACATCGGTTTGGCTTTACACAAACACAGTTATTTATAGCATCTCTCCCACTATACTTTCTCCCTCACATTCTCTCTCTCTCTACCTCTCCCTCTTATGTATTTGCATTTGTGCTATGCAAACAGGAGCCTAGTGTCAAGTGCGTCAGTTGTACAGGCCCTGTGCCTTTTCTTTCTCAAGCCTCAGTCTCAACATTTCTCCCCTTCATTCCCTCACTCCATGAGTCCCCTCTCCTCCATCTCACTGCAGCTTTCCACCTCTCTCTCACCTTCACCCTCGTTCTCCACCCCCCCTCTGTCTGTTTTCCTTTGCTCAATTGTTTTGCTGTAGATTTGACCGCTATGATTAATGACCTCAAAGCTTCAGGAAAGCAAACAGAGAGAGACAGGACAAGCTCGCCCTTCTCTTACAAAACTCCCTTTTTTCATATGTCAGCTGCTCCTATGTTCAACACTGAGCACATTTTGACTTCTGGAAAAAATATCTCCATAGTATAAGTCAGATTACACAAGAGAAAGACTTTATATGCACACAATTTTGTCTGAATTCTACAGACAACCACCACCACATGGCAGACAGAACAGTTTTTTCAGAATTTTGCTGTAAAGACCCAGTACATTTTTACCATAGAAGAGTACAGATTTTGTTATCTTGTCTCGTTGTGTTCTGTTAGTAAAACATGTTAGTGATGTTTGTGCAATAAATAAAATGTGTGAGCAATAAAGAGCTTCGTAATCAGATTTTTTCCAACCTTGGCCAGGTGTTTGCTCATTTCCAGTCTGTGTTCTAAGCTAAGCTAATTGCCTGGCTCTAAAGCTTAATATTTAGTGCACAGATTCTGTTTGTTATTCTAACAACCCTGCCCTCAGTGACTCCTTCCTACTGTGCAGCAGAAACACCACTGCAGACCTCACTTCACTTCACATTCTATACAGTATAACTGTTTTCTACTGTTCTGCTCATTGAGATCTGGCTTGCAAGTTTGAGGTCACCATCACATCTAGCACAATATGATTAGGACAGCATGCAAAAACATTTTCAAAGAGCAATAAAGACAGTGATTTCATTTTCATTGTAGAATACAATGATTGTTCCTCCAGCAAACTAATAGAGCCATCAGAAAGAAATCATTGCACTAGTTCCATCAGAGGCTGAATGACAATGTGGAAATGGAATTGTGGCTTCAAACTGAATAATGTTGCAAGGAATTGCCTTGTACTGTAGTTTATTTTGTGCTCTGACTGTGTTATGTTTAAAGGGTAAAAACAAATAGGGAATACAATTCTGGAAATATTCAAATGGTCAAAAAATTACAACATATTGAAGTGCATGTGGTAGATAAAAATTAGTCAGTGCTAATTACACACTATGAAATATGGCTAAAAACATGTGGCCTAATTTTAGTGCCCACAGTCTGAGAAACTCCCTCAGTAGGTTACTGCAGGCACATATCCATCCCATTACTTGACCTCACAGTATAGGTGGTAAATCATCTCAGCCACTATTAGCTGTCCTGAGGTGTGTTTTGTTTCCTCACAAATGGCTGGATCCAAATAGTGTCAGACAGACAGGAAGAAAAGGCCTCTGGGAGAGTGTGTGTCTGCATCTGTGTGTGTGTGCCTGTGCATGTTTATATGCCTATGTGTTTCAGGCTGTGGCTTCTGGCTGTGACCCCAGTGTTAATCACACTACAGCCAGAACAACCACACTCTTTCTATCCCCCATACAGTACCTACAGTAACTCCCCTACTCTACCTCTCACTTACACATGATCTCTACCCACTTCTTCACCATTAGCTCAGGGGTACAGACTCACTCGCCTTTCTCATCCTCTCCCCATAACCTCAAACTGTCACCTCTCCTCAAGGCTTCTTGAGGTCAGTGTTTCTGAGGTCTGAATTAGCAGGCTTCTCCTGTCCTTGTTTCCTTGGCAAAGTGCAAAAGCGCTAAAGGCTGTTCTCACCTCTCGGGGTCTGTACGCTCTCTCGATCAGTAGCTGGGTGGCTGGTTGGCAGGGTTGGTAAAAGTGAAAATTTGCAATTATTCAGCCCCGTTACTAGGGTTGGCTAGGGTTGATTGCTGTTGAGGGAAACAGCCTTTTGTGTCTGGCTGGCTGGCTGAAATTTCAGTCTTTCTCAGCCTTCTTATTTTGTCTCTTAAAAGTCTGGGTCATAAAACCATTTAACTCACCATCACTAGATAGACTCACTATCCTAGAGTTTTGGAATGACATCTATCAGAGCAAGGAGCATGAACCTCCTACAGCTTTCCAAAAAAATGTCAGTTTAATAGAATCATCTTGAACACTTGTTTATGAATCTGACTGAAAATAAATACAGAAAGTAGGTCTCTGGAAACTCCAGTAGTTCTGTTTGTGAACTGCGTGGCACAGCAAATTCATTTCTGGGTCAGCTTGCTTATCTGTCCTATGTTGTTTGATATTGTAAATGCTCCCTGTGAGTTAGCTTTTGCACATGTTAAAGGAGTATTAGCAAACACAAGAAGATGATGCATGTACACTACATGAATGGCAACAAAATGAGTATATGCCAGCAGCTGTGTGAGGCTCTATAAGCACAGTGGTGGCGTGTTTAACACGTGTGCGGTTTATCCTTGTTGCTAATGGTTTTACCTGTTACCATGCTGCCGTTTGCAAGAAATATTACAGACACAGTACAGCCAAGGTCGACGGGAATGTCTTTGGTTGTGCATGTATTTGGTTATGAAGTAATAAACAAATAATAATGATGGTGGTGCTAGATTAAAAAGTCAGATCACCAAAGTGATTACATCCTGAGCGAGGCATAATTTCATGGTAGTTCATCTAGTAGTTGTTGAGGCGTTTCACTCAAACAAAACCACAAAAGGTAACATCATGGTGGCATTGGAGGAAAACTCAGTCACTAACATATTGCCATCCTTAGAGTCATGCCAGTAGCATGGACAAAAAACAAAAGAAAAATAAATAAAGAGAGAGAGAGAGAGAAAACACCCTGTAAGTGCTGTATTAATGGAAATTGATCTGCCAGTGAGTGATTCCCCAACTAGCTGGCCGACTAACTAGATGCCCATTGGTGCTCTTCGCGTTGTGATTGTCACTCTGTTGTGCCTTGTGACACCCGTGGAATCAGAGTAGTTAGGTGAGCACACACATATGCACACACAGTTTCAACTTGTAGGCAAGCTGAGAAGAAGACTGTGAATTACACAGGCTTTGACAGGGCCTAATTATACATGTCTCTAATGAACTGTAATTACTGCCATCCACCAGAGTATCGAGGTCTATAAGCCGAGGACTCGCAGTCATTAGGCTGCTGTTACACTCTTTTTCTATCTCTACTGACTCACTGAAAATCTCTTGTGATGTGTCGGTCTCTGCCTAACTGTTTTCTCATTTTTCTCTCTCTGCTACAGTTTGATGGTGAAAACATGTACATGAATGAAAACAACCACGAGTTCCTCCCGCCAAACCAGGTAAGTTCAAATGGCCCTTTAACAGCTCTTTTCCTGTTATTTCATCTGTTCCCAATGACTGTAGCTTGAGTTGCTGCTGAGCCATTTTCATTTGTTCATGCTTGTTAAGATGGATGACAAATTTTTGTTGTTACTAAAACACAGATACATGACATCAGCTGACAACAAAGGGTCTGAAATCTTTCATAAATATTCTGGTTAGTTCACCATATATTTAATGCTGACAGGTGTAACATGTAACATACCATCTGCACTCTATGGGTGAGATATCTCCTCAGGATTGTTAATTAAAATTGTAGTGGTCACAGGGTGAAAGAAAGAGAATCACATTTTTTTCTACTCCTACAACTAGTCTGCTAGTCTAGTTACATTTCTTGATTGCTTATTGGTAATTTTGATCACCTTTAGTTGAGCAACTTTGTCTCTTCCAGGATCCTTATTAAAATTTACAGCATAACCTTTAAGTCTTTACACTTACACTACATAAAGTAAATACTGTGAAACAATTACAGCATCCAGTGGTGGAAGATGTACTCAAGTCCTTTACGTAAGGAAAAGTTGCAATAAAACAGTGTAAAAATACTCTATTACAAGTAAAAGTCCTGCATTCACAATGTTATTTCTGCACTTTTATGTACAGAAGTATTGGCATCAAAACATAGTTAAAAGTACTAAAAGTAAAAGTACTCATTAGACAGAATGGTACATTTCACATCCCTGTATATCATATTATTGTATTATAATTAATGATGCATTATTGTGTACATTACATTTATGTTGCAGCTGGTGGAGGGGGAGCTAGTTTTAACTAGTTTATGTGCATTTAATTTTAATTACTGCTGGGTAGCTTGTGAATTTTCCACCACAGATTAATGAGGTCTTATACTGTATTTTTTGTATTAATCTAGTAATTAAGTTATGAAATAAATGTATTGAACTAAAAAGTATGATAGTTGCCTCTTAAATCTGGTTAAGTCAAAGGATGAAGTAACAGAAAATGAAAATACTCAAGTACAGTTACCTCAAATTTTTACTTAAGTACAGTACTTGCGTAAATGTACTTAATACTTTCCACCACGAACAGCATCACCATTGCACTCAACACAATAAAATTTCATCAAAACCAAACATGACATACAAGCAAATAGAATAAGTTAAAGTATCACAAAACAAAAAATTTATTTACACATCCACTCTGCAAAGACCATTAAAGACTGTTTTTGCTTTCTGATGTCTTCTCAAATGACCAGTAGATATTTCTTAAATTGTTACTAGCTTCTTGAAATATAAAGTATACTGCTGAAATGGTTGTTTTGAAATGTGACTTTTTAAAATGGTTCTCTGGAGTCTCTCTGCATGCATTAGGCGGAGGCCATGGACCAGTTGCCAGTCCATCACAGACAAACTGTCAAAATTACATGTCTGTTACAGCAGGCAGGAGAAGACCAGGGCACCAAAACAAGCTAAATATTCACATTTCACACAGAAAGTGTTGGGACCTTCTTTCTCTGGTGTGACCATTAAGCTAATTCTGGCATAATAAAATTCAAATTCTCTGTATTACAATTATGCAATCATCCTCGGCGCACACAATTTTCACTTTGGTAAAAGTCAAGCAGGAAGCACTGGTTCACTCAAAGTGAGTTTTGGCTTCACTGCAAAGGATTTATTAAGCTAGAGAGGAGGGGGAGTCAGTGTTGTCTACAGTACATGGCAACCACGCCAGATAAACTATAGCACAGCTGGTCCTGAACAACTGGGATACCATATGGTTGTGTTTGGATAGGGGGGATTTGTGGAGTTTGGGAATAAGCCCATCTGACATATACAGGGGAACAGGGAATTTGTCCCTGTCAATTGCAATTATTAGAACCGACCCATAGGCTACAGTAGTTGTGCTTTCTGTTGCATTTGCTGCTTTGCTCAATTTCCTAATGCTCCGGTTTGTTAGTGTATGGCTCACTGCCCAGAATGAGAGACAGAGCTGCTTATGCTGCTTCATGTACATGATTTCTAAAGTTTATTTAGAAAGCTCTGACAACAAATGTATTTTTTACAAAATGATGTTTGGCTGTTTTAAAAAAGAAAACACTGCTTTTATCACTTGTTTTGATTGAACATATGTACTTTCACTGCAGTGCTGATTGACAGATTACAAGTTGTGCTGATGTGCACAATGGGGTTTTTTGCAAAATTACCAAGGGGCAGATAAGACATGTGAATTGTGGCATCGAAGATAGAGAGAGCGAGAAGGAGAGAGGTAAGGATCAAGGTAGTGAGAGAGAAAGAGAGAGAGCGAGAAGTAACTAGCATGAAAGATGACGGGATGAGAGGCGATTTTGCTTTGCTCTGTGTAATACTTTGTTTACTCAAGATCCCCTCATATTTGACATGTACCTCGCTCTATTCTCTGCTTCACCAGGTTTAGCCTCCCTTTCCCTCTGACAGCTAGAATCAGAGAGGGCCTTAGTGGTGGACATACATGCTGACAACAAAACGCAAAGAAAAAAAACACATATGTTCACATCCTTAGCTGTGTTCTAATTCCACACTGTGTGCTAATTATAAGTAGATGTAGTGTGCTCACTTTGGGAAAGTCACAGCGTATACTTGACTCAGTGTGCATATTAAAAACCTTGATTTTTGATGTTGATGGTGGTGGAACAGCTTGAGGAACAGCATTGTGGAATAATACTGCACATCAACAGCATACTCATAGATCTTTACTGTGTGACTGTTTGGAGTATACTTTATTTTGCCACTTTTCCATTGTAAACACACTGCAACCTCAAAACCTGAATTAGTATGTAGTATAGATTTGGGTTTTATTGGCATCTACGTATCAGTGTTGTATCATTTCCTGTTAATACAAATGTTTAAAGTACATTGCTTTCTTCTGTTCTAACTACATTAAAGTATGACAATCAGAGTATATACACATTGTATGCATGCAAGCCTGTTTCATTAAGCCTAAAATACATTAAGAAACTGTAAATGTGTTTGTGTTTGTGCTGAGATAAGAATGAACTTGGTGAACAAATGGAGACAGAGAAGACATCTGCAGGGATAATTCTTATTAACTAGATTTATTCTTCAGGAAATGTCTCGTATAGTATATACAAAACAGTAGCTGCATTATTCTCAATATATTCCATCCTGAAGAAAAACAAATCTTGCTGCCTAAAGCTGCATGCTGTTTTATTATCTCACTTTTCTTCTTTCTTCCTTCCATTCTCTTTTGACTCTCCCTCTTTTTTCTCTCTCACTCCGTTTCTCTCTTACACCCATTGCATTTAAATGCATTTGGGTCAGCGGCTCCTCTGCAAAACGTGTGAAAATGTGTTTCTCAGTCTCTCACTTTGGTTTGTCCTTGTAATTACTCTATTTGATCTGGTTCACCTACATAAATACATATTTAAACATAAAGTACATTCATATAGAACATAAGCATGGCGCCAAGTAACCGCATCAAGAAGTGAGGAGGTGCTTAGGTAGGTATGTTCCCATGATGAGTCACAAGGAAACAGGGTCAGTGCCATTGTCATCTCAGTGTTCCCATGACTGTAGTTGTCTGACCCCGCTTAGTTCTCTGCTGTTTCTGCCAGTCTCTTTCCCCCCTTCAGCAGCATGACAAAGTGTTACTGATTCAATGACAAGGTCACAGACCCTGGGTCTTGGCATCAACAAGCTCTTTGTATGGCCCTGTAGCCACTGACCATTGTCGCGGCAACAATGTAGAAATTAGTAACCAACAATGAGACGTTTTTTCAATGTCTTCACAGAGGTTTGATCGGACCCTCAAACATAAAAGACATACACCAACACAATATTCACAGTGGAAAGTGGAAGAACACCTAAATAGAAAGACTTTGGTTACTAGAAAGGCCTTAGTAAACCTTCACCTGAAGTGGGATTTCTCTTGCTAACACAAAACAGAGCAGCGCAGAGTGATGCGATCAAAGATAATGCACTGTGGAGATGCCTTCTCATAGCTCTCTAGCAAAGTGGAAGAAACAGTATACTTCATCAGCACTTTACCTTGACAATGCTTTGCTTTGATGTCTTTATCCCTGACTTATGAATTCATTTAGGAGAACTGCTGGTTGAGAGAAATATGCCACAGAAAAAAGAATACGAGGAGGAAATTGAAGGAGGGAGTTGGATGGAAAAACTGCACAGGGGAATAATTCGACTAATGGAGTGACTGTTTGGATATTCAGCAGAAGTAGGAACGAAGATTATGATCTTGCAATTAGCGTAACAAGGTTTTATTGATTGGCTGCCGCTGCAGCGTCTTTGCTGCCAAGACGCTGCATGTGGTTTTAACATGCACAGTATGTGTGTAGCCCAGCCAGTCACACGAGTCCCGCTACTACTAGAACAGAATCCAGCTCAGGATTACTATTGAGCTGTGGCTATTTCCTGAGCATCAAAGCTGAAATATTATGGACTGCTGAGTTGAAAGGGTCTGTTTGAATGCCTGATGATTTTCCGCTCACTTTTAAGTTAATGCATTGCCCTCCTTGCACTTTGATAAAATGCAGGTATGAAAAATCGGCTCCCAGTAACAAGTGATTTGAAACTTTCTCGGCATGTTTTACATGTTGGGAGTTCAAATGATGTTTTATTGGCGAGTTTGATCCTGTTTCTAGTCTCAGCTATTATGTTAAGTCATTGCTGGCCAGGATTATGCAGACCCCTTAGGTGCTGTGATAGTAATATGGGAGGCTTTTGAGTGCCAAGAGCAGATCTGTGAGACAGAGAAGCAGGGACAGATTGATGGGAAGTTTTCCTTAATATGGCAACAAACAGATGCACAGTATGAAACACACTGACAAACAACATATAATGAGGCCTTTGTGTCATATTTTTTTATGCTTTAATGATAACATGTTTGAACAGATATGATGTCTGTCACACAGCTAGGGTGCCTGGACTGTGAGACACTCCAGTCTGATAAATATTAAGACTTTCTCTACAGCTCCCCTGTGTCTCTCATC